GGGCAAAAATACCTCATCACTGGAATTCCAGAAAACTTACATCCAATATCATTTTAAAAACCTAAGTTTGCTTTAAGACCTTTGTGCATATGCGTATATGTGTCAATATGTTCAAAACAATCTGATATTTTGATACAAAAACTGTCAGCACGGTATGAGAAAAAGTCTTTTCTATCAATCAAAAGTGCTTCTGTTTTGCATAGTAATTTTTTTTTTGGTATTGCTATTTCATGAAATTATTTGCTTTTTTACTTGAATTGTAACTAGTACAGTATCTGTGCTGCATGTGACCAGCAGCCAAGTTAGGGATATCAGTAAGTTTGGATTGGCATAAGAACCTAGCAAACTGTTCTGCCTGGGGAGCTTGGGTCTCGGTAGAAAAACAGTAGTGCAGGGGCTGGGAAGGTGGCTCCAGCACCACATAAGCAAAAAGAAAAAAGCCGGAAGTGGCGCTGTGGCTCAAGTGGTAGAGCGCTAGCCTTGAGCTGAAGAGCTAAGGGACAGCGCTCAGGCCCAGAGTTCAGGCCCCACAACCGGACCCCCCCCCCAAAAAAAAAGAAAAGAAAAAGAAAAACAGTAGTGCATGAAATTGCCTTGAGAGTAATCTCTTGTGTCTATTGATTCGTTTCTGACAGTCATTGTGCAGTTAAAAATGGGTTGTCTTAAACTCAATTGGCTAAGAAGGTCAGCAGATATGCATGTTAATAAATATTTTAAAGGATTATTACATTGCATTAAAAATGAACTTTAGAGCTGGGCACGGGGGCTCATGCCTGTAATCCTAGCTACTCAGGAGACTGAGAGCTGAGGATCGAGGTTCAAAGCCAGCCCGGGCAGGAAGTCCGTGAGACTTTTTTTTTTTTTTTTGGGTCCGGTCGTGGGGCCTGAACTCTGGGCCTGGGCGCTGTCCCTCAGCTCTTCAGCTCAAGGCTAGCGCTCTACCATCTGAGCCACAGTGCCACTTCCAGCTTTTTTTTCTTTTTGCTTATGTGGTGCTGAGGAATCGAACCCAGGGCCTCATTCATGCAAGGCAAGCGCTCTACCACTGAGCCACCTTCCCAGCTCCGTGAGACTCTTATCTCCAATAAACCAGTATAAAACCAGAAGTGAAGCCGTGGCTCAAGTGGTAGAGCACTCCCTTGAGCTGAAGAGCGCAGGGTCATCACCTAAGCCCAGAGTTCAAGCCCCACGAACGACCAAAAAAAAAAAAAAGGACCTTTAGTTAAAATGTTTTTAAGGGTTATTTTAAATGCAAATTAAAGCAAACGGAGTATATAAAAAAGGGAAGTTAATTTTAAAAAGGTTTTGGGAAGGGAATGAATTCCTTTGGATAAAAAAGAATTTGGGAAGTAAGAATTGTCTTAAATGTTTGTATCAAAGTGGAGATAGGAGGAAATTAAGACTACTGAAGGCTAAACTAAGTGTCAATCTTAATTAGTATCATAAAGTGCTGTATTCAGTTAAAAATTAATTAGATTGTTTAATCAGTTGCTGTTCCAAAATTCTCATTGCGACTATTATTGAGTTTTACCTTTACAGATTTGATTTTTCTGTAGCAATTACAGTCAGGCTCACAGAGGGACAAATGACTGTTACAAGTCTGTCAGATTTAACTTTGATTCTTAATAAGTTCCAGGTAAGTTCTGCTTAAAACTCTTTCCTTAAAACTATCTCCTTGTTGCTCCAATTGGAAATAAAATGGTCTATTGGCACAGATTCTCTTTTGACTGGTCATTCACACACCCCTCCAATGTGGGATTCAGCCAACTGGGGCATGTCAACCCAGCAAGCAGCAAAAATGCCAACCGGGACATTATCCCAACAATGAGAAGATGCCCACCATGACAAAGCTTGTCCTTGGACAAGGGATCAAAGGGGCAAAGGGTCATCCCGAAGCTGTCGGAAGAAACTTCTAAGAGAGGATGGTGTCAGAGCCTGAAGGAATCCTTTGTGCTTGCCCTTTCAAAACTAAAAGGCAGGAGGTCATCAGAAAATAGTTCATAAGCATGGCCATCTACTGCCCATACCTGGCTACTTCGTAACTGGGAGGAACTGACACCCTTGCCTATCAATCACTTATAGTGGGTGGTAAAATGCTAGGGTTTTCAAATGGGGGATAATTCAAAATTAACAAAAATTTCAGCCCCCATTATCTGCTCGTGGCCTTAACTGGCAGAAAATATTTGGGCTGGCACCAGTCACATGAATTCATCTGGTCAGGGAAAAGGGGTAAACCTGGAATATTAGCAAATCAAAACACTCCTCCAGGCACCTGGCCATTCAGGCCTATTAGACCCCACACACTCATGTAAAGAGGTCTTAATAAATATCTGTACAGATTCTAAATATACCTTCTTGGTATTACATGCCCATGCAGACATTTTTTAAAAAGAAGTTTGTTGGCTAATGATAACTTCCCAATAGGTCATGGACCTGAGATTGTGTCCCTATTAAGAGCTATTTGGAAACCTTTGCAGGTAACTGTTATGCATTGTTAGTGTCACCAAAGATCAGGTTCCCTGGTCAGACAGGAAAATGCTTCTGCAAACTGGAGTGCTAAACAGGCCACACTGGCCTGCTATATAAAAATGGCTTTTATACTGCTTCACATGAACTTTTACCTAGATGGAAGGGAATCTATGCAAGTTCTTCTCAGTGTTCCTATAACTCATTTTCATGATGGATCTGAACTTTAGTGAGGCCTGAAAATCTGCCAGCATTACAACACAGGTGGATGAGGTCTGTTTTCCCACTGCTATGATCACCTGACCTGTCTCTATTGTATCTGCTGACCAGGAGGATGGCATATGGCATATCACATCATTTAGCAAATACATCCAACAAGCTTTCAATGACACCATTAAAGGGATCTCTTAAATTCGGAGGTAAAAAAAAATGATCGGACAAGCTGTCCTTCAAAATTATGACACCTTTAGACATCCTTACTGCAGGCCAAGAAGAAACCTGTGCAGTTGCAAAATGTTAGCTTTAAATAAGCTCCTTACCTATGGCACTACAGAAACACGTAGTTAAAATATGCTATTTTCCTTTTTGGTACTAATATGTGGGAGACTGATTTTTTTTATATTGTTTTGGTGGCTTGTTATCCTCCCTAAATTCTCAAATTGTATTCTTTCCAATGTAGTGTAAAAACAAATGCTCCTAATGACTTCTGATCCTGGCAATCAGCAAACTGAATTTCTCATGTCATCCCTCGGTAAAATAGGACTTCAGGTTTCTGGCTAGCCCCTCTACTCAGCTTGAAGCAGTTACAGAAGATGGATCTTTGCACATTCATTTCCCTTAAGATTGAGGGCCAAAATCATTTTTGGAAAAATGAGTCAGGACAGAGTTTTAAAAAATAGGTATGGGAAAATTGTGGTAACAAGTACAGACCATCTTGAGTGTGGAGACCTCATTTATGAGATCATTGCAAGTCCAGGCCTTGTCTGCCCAGGAAATCCTAGCCTCACTGGAGGAAATTTGGTTACTAAAAGTTGTCACTCTGCTATGTTGTCCAGGGCCTCACTGCCACTGACCAAGAAACTGCCTTAAAACCAGTGGAGCCCCTAAATATTTTACTGACTTTCCAATCCCAGCCTGCCATCCAAATTGGTGTCCTACAGACAACTGGACTACAGCACTGGTGGTATATATTTGTTAGTTAAGTAGAAGGAAGGCTGACAGGATGACCATGTAAGGCTTCCAGTAGGAAAGTGTCAAAGACAACATGAACAATGACCACAGTTCACAAGCTCTTAACAATGTTAAAATTCAAAGCCTGACGCTGGTGGCTCACACCCAGAATCCTGCTACTCAAGAGGCTGACATCTGAGTATGGCAGTTCAGAGCCAGCCCAGACAGAAAAGTCTGTGAGACTGTTAACCACAAAAAGCTGGACATGGAGCTGTGGTTCAAATGGTAGAGTGCAAAAGCTCAGGGAGAGATACCCTCCAAGCCCAGAATTCAGGCCCCAGGACCAACAACACAAAAGTTAAACATTCAGACTGTGACCAACTCACATATCTATCATCCGAACAGTTAAAAAATAAAGTTTATTCATTGTAAGGCATGAAGAACTTGGAAGACTATAATATACGGAGTCAAAAAGTACATTATTGCTTACAAAATACTTAAGGTTTTCTTAGATTCAAACACAATGTAGATATTTCAACAGTCTGTTAATAACCGGCTAGTTCTAATGTTTTGCAAACTGATGGTGAAGAACTGGCTCAGCGGGGAACCATTCTCTGGGAAGTATTGACCAATCCTGTGCATTTTAAGATGGTATTTTTAGATATAACTGTATCACAGGATTTACACAACAGACCAGTATATCAAGACCAACACACTTCACGTTCAATTTATCTACTGTTTGCTTTATCTTAAAATGTTCTATTTAAGACTTTGGCTAAGAAGTCACTTGATTCAAGGTACCCTCTCCCTCTTCTCCCTCCCCCCCCCCCCCCCCCGCCCCATTCCTCTTTTGCTGAGCCATAGCTCAGACATGGAAAATAGAATGGCCCAGATTGAAAACACACTGAAAAAGCACACTGCAAAATCATATCCACCTTCTTTTCATTCCTAACCTCTGCAACACTCCTTTGGCAATGAGTGAAGGTTTTGAACCTTTGTAAGCATACTTCCATCCCGATTCTGTGAGTCTGAGGAAAAGAGCAAGGAGGTCTCTTTTAACCGTCAGACGATGGCAGTCCAAGAGGACCCAAGTGCGTCTTTAAGGAAAATTACCACTTTACAGTCAAGTCCTTTCCCCTAGGACTGGTCAAGAACACCACAGACCTGGAGTGTGCAGGTCCTTCCTCTATGAATGTGAATCTTATCAAGAGGCTCTCCAGGGATTAGCTGCTTCACTGCTTTCAGTATGCCCATCACCAAGGAGAGTCCCAGCAAATGGGACAGACGACACAGAATTAGATGTCACATTAACAAAAAACAAAACAAAAAAACCCAGAAAAAGCTCAACAGGTCATTTTGTGCACTCAGAGGTTTCCAACAAATTTTATTTTGCAGACCACTGGTGGGCAGCTTTTAAGGACCAACATCTGTATACATTTCTATAAAATGTCCCGTCAGTGTCCCTCCTGTGGCAGCCTCCTCAGCTGGACCCCAGATCCGGTGGCTTCTGCTCCAGGTATACATGGCCCCCGGAGGGCATGCCCACACTGCAGCCTTTTCCTGGCAGGGAGCTTCATCTGCTGGGCAGTGGTTTCCTGTGGTAGGGTCAGTTGGATCACAAGCGCAGCTTTGGTGCTTGCGAGCAGGAAGCGTTCAGCAACTTGGAAAGCCAGGGTTTTCTCTCATGAAGACAGACATGGGAGGGTGCCCTGCGCTTAGCGATGGGAACCCCTCTGAACTGCTCAGTAGGTAACAATAAGGAAGCCTCTGCTTTAAGTAACACAGATATCACCCTTTTAGATTGCCTATTTGTTCTAGAACTACAAAATTTAATTCAAGAAAATATAGGTCCCATGAAAGACTTAAAAGTTTTATAAAACTAAAATCTAGTTTTCCCCGATAAATTGTACTTTAGGCAAAACCCTCCCAATGCTTCTAAAATAATACTAAAAGGGGCATCTGATTATACAAGAGCAATTAAAAAAATTAAATATTTATTTGAATAACAAGTTTACGTTCAAGCTGCAACGCTGGCAATGCAGATTTAACACAGATCACAAGAAGCGTGCACAAGAAAAGTACTGGCGCGAAGGGCAAGTAATGCTAAGAATGGGCTATGGCGCTGCTGACCATAGGACAGAAAGGCCCAAGATCACTATACAAAATATAAAATGTGTGAAACACTACCATCCACAGAACAGTCTTTATTACTGATTATATTTAAAAATGATTTGCGTAGTTAGTTATATACTGAGTTGTCACTGAGAACTGTACATGAACCCCCATCGAAGGCAATTCCTTGTTGCACTGTACAACATCTAATTACACTGCAAAAAGTATCCTTTTCTGCCATCAGTAAAGAAAACAAATGTTATTACTGTAAGTATCAGGAAGGCTACCAAAAAAAAAAAAAAGCAAGATTTCTTCTTTGTCTTCAAAGTGCTTTCCATGCAGAGCGAAGCACCCGGCTTGGTGAACTGAATGAATCACTGTTGGAGAATGTCCTGGGTCAGAATCAAAGACTCAAAGGAACCATGCAACCTCGTACTACAGGAGGCCACCATGGTGCTTCCCAGTTCTTTCCAGAATACCATCCGAGACACTGAAAAACAGACTGATATGATAAATACACACAAAGGGAAGAGACACAGACTGCTATGTGGCACTACTCTTGTAGTGTCTGTGCTGTGGGGAAGCACCTTGAGAAAGAGCCTATGCGGCAAGAGATACGTGTCTAAAGATTCAAAATGAATCAACAGTATTGGATAACAATATAATTCTCAACTCAGAAGCTGCCTCAAGATTGGGTGCGTCTGCAGTTAATGTAACAGGAGAGAAGGCCATGGATTTCATCTTATTAATTGCATCCACTCACAAACCCATCTAAGGTTACCAGATGTGTAGACACAATGAAATTTTTGCTGTTCGTAAGTCTTTAATTGAAGTGATGATAAAGGAAATAGATCTATTAAAAAACACAACCAAGTAGCTATTACTGCCTAGATTAGGAGGTGGCACCAGGCGTGGGGTTTGCGTTCTGAGTGGCCACCGCGACTTCGATGATCCGGGGTTTGTCTATGATTCTGGCCGTGCGGTTACCCTTCTCTACAATCCCAATAATCCATGCTTGGTGGCCTTCGCCGTATTTGGGGGACTTTATCTCCGCACAGAACCGAGCTGCTTGCTCACGTGGTAAGCAGATCAGAAGGCCTCCTGACAAAGGAAAAGACTCAGCATTAGTGGTCACATGCAGAGAACAACCCATGGCTTCTCCGAAACTGCTTCCCAACAGAGGAAGGCAACCAAGCCTTGTTCAAGTTGCTCTTTTCATTCAACTAAGGCAAGGGTGGGACTGAAGGAGGCCATAGAAACTGATGGGTCTGGTTCTAACATGACCAATTGATGCAGAACTCAAATTCCAGATCCCCCTCCAACCCAAACCTGGAAAAGCAGGTGTGAGTAGCAACATCATTAGCTTCACCTAGTGTCACATGCCTCAGGAAAGAAGTTCCAGCTATCACATTAGGAGTGAGTTAATGAATGTCTGACCAAAATAGCAGGTAATTCTAAAGCTGACAATTTTGTACGGTCTAAGATTGGTGCTAGCTCTATCCAAAGAGCCTTTGGCAGAAAAAAAAGGATCCCCTCTATGACCTCAAATTCTGTAGACGAAGTATTTTGGCAAAATCTCCTTTTGTGTGTGTCTGTTTCTAGGACTTGAACTCAGGGACTGGACACTGTCCCTGAGTTTTTGTGCTCAAGGCTAGTGTTCTACTATTCGAACCAGCTTTACTTCCAGTTTCTGGTTAATTGAAGCGTCTCATGGACTTTAGCATAGGCTAGCTTTGAATCATGATCCTCAGATCTCAGCTTCCTGAAAAGTGAGGATTACAAACATAAGTCACCAGTGCTCAGCTTGGCAAATCTTACTATTACAAAACACATACATTTGGAAATAACCCATCTGAACCATTTAATACTGCGCAGTTAGGTGTGTGAGCCTTAGTAACATACATGGTAGCTACTGTTCTGTGCTAAACTAAGAGACCTATTTATGAATAAAAGAGAAATGTTCCTTTTGTATACTTGTGAAAAAAAGCTTTGAAAAATGTGTTTGTTTTGAGACAACCTCCCTCTGTAGATAGCTCAGGTTGTCCTCAACCTCAAAATCCTCCTTCCTCTGCCTCCCAAGTGCTGAGGTTACAGACTGGCACTACCAGGCCCACCAAAAACTTCTCACTTCTGAATAAAGAAAATAAAAAATTCACTCAGTGCCCACTAGGTGGCAGACACACACAGTCAGCAGGAAAAATAATCTGTTTCCTAGGAGATACTTTTGGTTTTGGCAGCTAAGGCTGAGAGTCTGGGAAGGGCTTTGTAGTACCCACCTTTGGCCTAGTACCACAACCTTCCAGGAAAGTAGCATCCCTCCCCCCCAGACCAGGCATTAGGTTTTCTAGGAGCCAGGTCTCTAGGCATCTGTATCTTCTAAATCCTCGGGGTATAAAAGTAGTTATAAAGGAAACAGAAATGAGAGAAGCTAAAGAAGTTAAAAAATAAAATAGGGAGAGCTAAAAGGTGAACAAGAAGAGGTATGGTAAAGAGAAATAGCATTTTAAAGCACAATATGCCATTTTATTCTTAAAACAGTTTTAGACACTTTCTGTTTCCAGTGAAAGCTGGGTAATGATTTATTTAACCTACAGCACCACCATATGGCCATATCGAGAACGAGGACATTAACTCAAAATGGCAGCTGTGGGTCTCACATACACAGAAGGGACCTCCCAGAAAGCGGGGACACATTCATGCATTACAGAGCCCCAGTGAACCCAGAGCTGGGTCCCAGGTCCTCCTACCTGATGTCTCTGGGCAGGTCCCATGCATGAGGCCAAACATGTTCCCACAGGCTTTGCTCACAGCAGCCATCTTGGCCAGCACAGGAAGGTTGTGAATTACAAAGGACACCTCATTCCTCTGTTGCTTCGCCAGGTTCTGTGCGTGGCCCAAAATCCCAAAGCCTGTGATGTCTGTGGCTGCGTGGGCATTGAACGTGTGCATGAGTCCTGCAGCTGAGGGGGCAGATGGATGACTGTTACCCAGTGACCTCAAAATTCCTCATTTTGTCAAGAATCATGAAAAATACAGTATAAAAGTCATCAAAAGCCAGTGTGAAGTTGGGAAGGCTAATGCCTTACTTTTATTTGAGCCACTGGGAACCTATCGGCATCTTCAACGCATGATTTCCCAGTAAACTGAAAAGACCACACAAAAGAATTATAATCTCAAGGGATGGAAACCTGTTAAATTGTCCTAAAATCACACAGGACTAGGACAGAATGCCTGACTTAAAATGCTCTTACTAGGAAGGAATTGTTTGAAAACTTCATTTCTTTTACATTTCTATTTACTTCTTATTTTTGAGGTAGGGTCTTACTATGTAGTTCAGACTAGACTTGAAGTCTCGATGCTTCTGCCTGAGGCCCCTGAGCTCTGGGACTCATTTCATGCTCTTAAGAAAAGTCATCAACTTTATTTTTTTGGAGCCATTTGGGGCTTAAGGGCAGGAATTTCCCACATAATCTTGAGGTTGGCTGTTCTATTATTTTGCATACAGTGCAGCTGATTAAATGTGCTAATAAATCAACTAAAATCCAGGTTACATGGCAGCTGTATGTTAACTCTAGTTTGTATAAATGTCCAACACAGCCACCACCACTTTCATCACAAGCAGTGTCACTGTGCTGCCATCCTGTGCCCTACCCTTTAGCCCTGGAAGCCTCTGATCTATGTACTGTTTCTAGAGTTTTCCCTTTATAGCATGTGGTCATATAGTATACAGCTTTCACTTAGCAATACAGATTAAAGGGTCATCCAAGCCTAGAGAAACATAAAATACTAAGATGTGTTTGGGAGTGCTGGGTCAGTGGCCAATCTTCTCTTATTTTCTAAAAACTTTCTGTATTAAGCATATCAATCTTTTGCAGAAGAAAAACCATAAAAATAAATGGGAAGACAGACATAAAAAAGAAATTAAAAGAGCCGGGTGCTGGTGGCTTACACCTGCAATCCTAGCTACTCAGAAGGCTGAGATCTAAGAATCACACTTCAAAGCTAGCTGGAAAGTTATGTCTGTGAGATTCTTTATCTTCAATTAACCATCAAAAAGCTGGAAATGGTGTTGTGGCTCCAAGTATTAGAGCACTAGCCTTGATCACAAAATCTCAGGGACAGTGTCCAGGCCCTGAGTTCAAGCCCCAGGACCAGCACAAAAATAAAAAGAAGTTAAATGTAGTGCCCTGATGTAAATGGGAAATAACATTTAAAAGCCAGTTTGCACTATTTAGAAAGGCTGAGGCATAGGTAATAGAGGCTCAGCCACCAAAGTTCTGCAGAAGTAACTAATTCAAATGTCCACCAACAATGAACCAGACAAGTCAAGCAAACACTGGAAAATTATACAGAAGTGAAAATGAATGCACTACAGCTATACACAGAGAAGACTCCAACACCATTAAATGGTAGACAACACAACAGAGAAACAACTATTTAAGGACACAGCTTATATACTACTTTAGAATGCAAGAAAAACCTACGTGTATAAGGTGCTTAAACTTATCCAGTGATTTCCCTTGGTCAGCTTTTTCCCCCCCTAATACAAAAGTCTCATTTAATACTTTTTTCCTCCTGTGAACACACAAAGTATAGATGTTCCTCAATGCAAAATAGGGCAGTGATAATGCTGCATCCAAACTATCTTAAGTCAAAAGATGCGTAGAACACATATAGCCTACCAAGCACATGCACCATGGTGCACCCAGAAGGCTGAGCACAAGATGTATGGCATGCTGCTATGCCCAGCAGCATGTGGGGCCAGATCGCACTGGGAAATCATCACTATTCAAAACCGACCAGTGCCTACTGGTGTCACTCTCACGACACCATGAAGTTGGACAACTGTAAGGGCCATCACCATAAGGACTCCGGGACTCTCGATTCCTGTGAGTGACTGATGGAAGGAGACCTAGTGCCAAGAGAAGATGGCCTGTGGTCACTAGCCAAACCTGGCAATTAAACACATGTAGAAAGAAAGCAGTAATCGTCAAATGAGACTATATGGCCTAAGAAGCCTAAAATATATGCACCCAGCCTTCCCAGCTGTTCCCGGCCCCATACCTGTCCTGTTGAGCCGGGCCATGTTCATCATTGCCTCCTGGTATGCCAACTCGACATCTTCTTGGGTGACTACGAGCTTAATTTTATTCCATTTTTCAGGCTAACAGCAGAAACACAGGTGGAAAAGAGAGAGAAATTGTAATTAATCTTTCCTTCCAGCCACTGACAAAAAGAGCAGTTCATCTCCTAGCCATCTTGTACAGAGGTTTGTTTTCTTTCTGTGGTGAGGATAAACCCCAGGCTGCCTGCACACTCAGCATGCACTGCATGACACCCCTGCCTCCAGGGCCAATGGTGTTGGTTATTTAATAGTTTTGTACCAAAAATGATATTCTTCGCTTGTCGGTGTATCTTAAGTGTCCATCAGACTTATTATGCTGTCTTTTCTGTTCACCCCACAGTTCTATAATCAAACATCATTGTTCACTTGATATGTAAATCTACAGGATATAGGAACATCCCATAGGCAGAGAAAGGGGGGGGGAGAAAGGGAGAAAGGGAGAAAGGAAGGAAGGAAGGAAGGAAGGAAGGAAGGAAGGAAGGAAGGAAGGAAGGAAGGAA